ATCATCAAAGAAGCACATCTATAAATTGAATCAAATGATTAGAAGCTTTTTTTAACCTAGGAGTAAAAACATAGCATACGAGAACATACTTTTTCAAAATAGCCTTTTTTTAACATAGAATTTCAGTTTGGTTCAACGCTTTTATCAAAGAACTGGAAAAGCTTTCGTTTTCCTCATGATTCCATACGATTTAAATCATTTTTGAAATTAAAAATTCGACTTTTAACCTAAATATGAAAAACCATGAAGCAAAGTTTAAATCATGTTTTTCAAAAAAAAAAAAAAAAAAAAAGCAATTACACTAATTCATATCGAATATCAGTTTGAATTAACGTTATTTCCATAAAAGCACAAAAAGTTTTGTTAATTGAACTAATGTGATTTCAAAAACCGATTTTCGTAATTAGAAAAAAAAAAACTTAACATATTCTCGTAATTAACCTTCTCAATGAAATCAATCAAACAAAAGTTATTATAATTAATGTAAACTAATCTGATCGAATTTGAAACTTCAGATTATAGGATCCTACGATGATATATGTAATCGTTTCTTCAAGGATGGAATAGCTTTTCAGGTCGATGAGACGAAGAAGACTAGGATATGATTCGTAGCCCTATGACACACCTTATTACAGTAGCTTATTAGTAGCCCGATGACACACTTGATTTCAACTCCTTATTAGCCCCAACCAATTCTGGTTTTACATGGACATAAATGCACTTAATGAAGATGATTGGTCGAGAATTATACTCACAGTCCTCACCAAATTTGGAGTCATCATCAAATTCGGACCGTATGTGTGTGTGTCTATATATATATATATATATATATATATATATATATATATATATATATATATATATATATATATATATATATATATATATATATATAGAGAGAGAGAGAGAGAGAGAGAGAGAGAGCTTAGAGAATATGTGGCTGTTATGTACCTAAGTTTAAATATAAAACCCTCCAAATAATGTAGTTTTGATCCATTTATATCCAAACTAATCATGATATCTCTTTGACTATTCTTCATTAATCATGTGACTTACTAAATCGATCAAATTTATGTTTTTTTTCTTCATTGTGTATAAGAACTTAAAGCATTAAAAGTCATGACAATTTAATCAACCCTACTAAATTCTAAATGAAAACTAATAGTATAAAATATAAAAGAACATGTCATAACTCAATCAAGCTTTTTATAAAATCATTAGATATAGTTTTTAAATTGAAATACAAAATGTTTGAGTTATATTCGTTAAAAACTATTTTTTTTTCTTTATAAACTCAATAATCATTTGCAATAAAAAAATATATAATTGATCTTTTTCATTCCATAATTGAACTTAATTCAATGTTATTCTATTAAAACAAAACAAAGATAAAATGAAATTGGATTTGTTTTGTTTAAAACTGCATCATTTAAAAGGTTCTATACATAAGTCTAGGTACATAACAACCACATATTCATTTTTCCCATATATATATATATATATATATATATATATATATATATATATATATATATATAAACTAAAAATGCATTCATAAAATTTTCATTGCAAATATGTTTCCCCAACTTAGGCTGTAGGGTGTCATGAGTGAGATGACAAACCACAACCTTTACCACACACCCTCAAGCTTCTATACTAATAAATAAAACCTATTTTCTGCCACATGTCATGTCCTCATTGATTTGGACACATGACATTTTAATAGATTTTTTAAAATTTACTTATTTTCACATGTAATTTTCTGATTTGTTCACATATCACAACTTATTTCGGTTACAATATTGAGAGAAATAAATGTTTCCTTGAAAAAGAATTGATATATTTATAATGTAATAAATGTCATAATTAATGAGAGCTCTCAAATTGATATTGATATTAAATATTGATTTTAAATTTAAAGTTTAAATATTGATATTAAATTTTTATTTTTAATAAACTCGTGTAATACACGGGCCTCATACCTAGTTATACAACAAAGTAGTTTTGGATATTTACAAAAAAAAAAAAAAAAAAAAAAAAAAAAAAAAAAAAAAAAAAAAAAAAAAGATAACTCGCAGTAATTTCGTATGCTAATTAATTTGAGTGATTTATGTTGAAGAGTCGAACAAACTTTGGTTAAGATAAAACTTCAGTTACCCATGCATATGGAGACAATGATGGAACACAAGATCCGGAGACAAAACATGAATTCATTACTATAGTACAAATCTTACGTACGCATGGTACAACCCTTTAAAGCTGTTTTGTTTTAACATTTTAGAAGGTGGTTGGTGGAGGTAGTTAATACCTTTCTTTTTGCAGTTTTATGACATCTATCAAATGCAAAATTCACTCATCTGGATGGCAACGAGTACCGGTATATCGGTTTCGTGTTCCCCATACTTGGCCCCATCCCCATGAGGGATTAAAAATTTATCCCCATTTTCAATGGGTAATTAGGTATTTTTTTTCTCATTACAAAGTTTTGAGCTTTTATAAAAAATAATGTAGGCATATTATTTTTACACTCCACTCTCTAAACACTCCAGTCTACGCTATTTTGACTTCCTTTTTAGTAGAATGTTTGACAAATTTTTGTTGGCTTTTTGATTATATTCCAGAACTATTTCCAAGAAAATTACTCACTTTCCCATGCTTAATTTTTATTTTCCACGCCTTAAACCATGAATATTAAGAAACAAACTTTATCGGGTCATGAAATCCATTTATGAATTTTCTACTTTTTTTTATATAGTTTTTCTATTAAATGTTATTACGAAGGAATCTCCCCTTTCCTGTTTTATATATCATAATTTTCTACTTTTTTTATATAGTTTTTCTATTAAATGTTATTATGAAGGAATCTCCCCTTTCCTGTTTTATATATCATAATTTTCTACTTTTTTTATATAATTTTTCTATTAAATGTTATTACAAAAGAATCTCCACTTTCCCATGCTTAATTTTTTATTTTCCAAAGTTAAAACACAAAAAACAGTAACTAATTAAATTTACAATGGCTATAAGTTTGTTTACTTAATCAGTAAACTTAATAGAAGTTTAATACAGTAAACTTAATACAAAATCAATAAAGTTTATACAAGCTGCCGGAAAAGAAAACATGTTTGCCGGAAAATAGTCGACGGAGTCGTTGTTCGCCGGAAAACGGTAAGTTCTTTCTTTCCAACTTCGTATCTTCATTTATATGTTGTTCGTCAGATGTTGCCATTCGAGTTGGTGGTGGCAGTTCTCCGACGGAAAAAAAAAAAACGAAGGTAAGTTGGTGGTGGCAGTGCTCCATAGAGAGAGAGAGAGAGCGGGCCACATTTTGCGGCGGCGACATGGTGGCCAACAAGATCGAAAATCCGACGAGACGGCGAGTTGGTTGCTGCAATGCTCCGTCGAGATAGTGACAGGAACGTGCCATATATTGTGGCGGCAACATGGTGGCCAATGAGGTCTACAATCCGGCGAGATAGATATGGAAGAGGGATACGAAATGTTAGATGGTGTGGAAACTGATTTAGGGAAAACTAGGGTTTTTTTATAAATATATTAGACAATTCTTTAAGCCTAAGGATGGGCCCAATGGCAACATGGACCAAGGTGTCCATTTTCTAAACTTAATTAACGAAAATAATTATTTTGGTTATTAATCAGGTGGTGCTATAAAATAATTGTTGTGGTTATAAAATAATTGTTTTGGTTATGCTATTTGAAGTTCTCATGATCACTTTACATTTACTTAACACAAACTTATAAAATAATATATATTTTTAAATAAAATTTAGGTTATTAATTAATATTTTTATTTTGTTTTTTTATTTTTGCAGGAAAAAAATGGAAAATATTTCGGAATTTTCAACGGACCAAGTATATCTCTAATCTTATTATTTACTTATTCGTAATTAATTGATGTATTTTATTGGTTTTTTAACATGGTTTTTTTTTCAATTGTTAGGTCTTTAGTTCTCGTGGGGATTTAATGATGTGGGTGCAAAATGTGGCACGTTCACAAGGTTACGTTATCGTCACTAAACGATCAAAGGCAATAACTAAGGACTTCATTTCTAAAATAGTACTTGGTTGTGATCGTGGTGGCGTAGCCAGGAATAAAGATGCGCAAACAAAAAAAATTAATTGTCCATTCAAATTGATAGGAAATTATTTGAAAGCACACGATGGTTGGAAGTTAAGGGTCGTACGTGACGAACACAATCACGAACCATCAATGTACATGGAGGGTCATCCTTTTGCAATGCGTTTCTCAGATAAAGAAGCTCGTTTGGTGCAAGATTTGACAGAGTTGGATGTGAAACCGCGAAATATTTTGCCAACACTAAAAGCGCAAAATCAAAATAATGTGTCTTCATTGAGAACTATATATAATTTTGTCCAGAAGTTGGGGAGATCTCGGCGAGAAGGTAGAACCCCGATGCAGAATGTTATGCACATTTTGCAAACTAAAGGGTACAACTTACAGTATCGTGCAAACACGATTACTAACGAGTTAGAAGATCTATTTTTTATTCATCCAACATCATTAAAGATGTGGCAAGCATTTCCATATGTGGTGTTGATGGATGCTACATATAAAACAAACAAGTATAATCTTCCTTTTCTAGAAATTGTTGGTGTCACTTCTACAAACAAGACATTTTCCATAGCCTTTGCATTCATGCATAATGAAAAAACGAGCAACTATATATGGGCATTGACTTGTTTGAAATTGACGATTAACGATTCTTTTTTTCCTCGTGTTATCGTCACTGATAGAGATTTGGCATTGATGAAAGCATGTGGAGATGTCTTTCCACAAAGTAATCATTTACTTTGTAGGTGGCATATATTCAACGATATAACAAAGCATTGCAGACAACGAATCAAACCACAAAAGACTTGGAATTCTTTTCATCTAAAGTGGACGAAGTTAGTCGAATCTCCAACACTAAATGCATATATGCAAAATTATGCAGACCTTCAAACATTATTGTTCGAACATGCAGGTATTATTCTTATATTTGTTGAAGTCTTAATTTGTTTAACAATTATTATTAATTCATTCAAACTAATTTGTTTTTTTCACGTTTTAGATGTTTTTGATTATCTTTATACTGTTTGGTTGGGGAAGTATGCTGAAAGATTTGTATCGTTGTGGACTGACAAACATGTCAGTTTTGGAAATTCAACAACAAACAGAGTCGAGAGCCAACACGCCAAGCTGAAAAAACACCTGGAATCTGCGAAATGTGATTTGGACAAATTCATACATGTTATTGAAAAAGTTGTACAATCACAAGAAACCGCTATCAAAGAAACTTTCACACGCTGCATAATCACTTATATGCCAAGGTTTAAGGATCAGATATTCGAAGTACTGCGAAAACGTGTTTCAGTGCATGCTATGGATAAAATATTGGAAGAGCTTCATCGGTCAAAAAGATTTGTACCAACTCCTGAGAATTGTGGATGTCAATTGCGGACATGTTTTGGATTACCATGTGCTCACGAACTTGTGATGTATGTCGGTACAGGTATGTTTAATCTATTGGATTAAATTGACATTTTTATACTTATAACCACTTTATGATATTTTATTTGTTTAACTATAGGTTCACCTATTCCATTAGATTCGGTTGATGCTTTTTGGAGAAAGCTTGATTTGACGCCTTCTATATCTGTGGAATATGGTGATCTTAATGTTGATCATCGTATGCAAAGGTTTAAAGAGATATACAACACTCAACCAGATCATATCAAATATAATTATTTAAGGAGAATGGATGAGATAACTGATCCATCAACGAATTTGATCAATGAACCTTTGGTTAAGAAAAATAACCGTGGACGCCCAAAAATAAAGCGTGTCCAACATCAAAGTCAAGCTACTCACAGATACAGTTGTTCAGACTTAAACCAGGAGCCACCATGGTATAGTTCATCCTTTATGGACTTGAACGATGATCCGGCCAGACATAGTTCATTCGTCATGGGTTCGTACGAGGAACCAATAGGCCAATGTTCATACAACATAAACTTAAATGAGGAACCAATAGGTCAATGTTCATACAACATAGACTTAAACGAGGAACCACTAGGGCAGTGTTCATACCAGACAGACATGAACGAGGATCCGATAGGCCAATGTTCATACAAGATTGACTTAAACGAGGAACCACCATTGGGACATAATTCATTGTTGGATGAAATTCCATCTATATTTCATCCATACATCACACATATACAAAATGTATTGGGTGATGGAAATTGTGGTTTTCGATCAGTAGCCGTTTGTCTTGGATATGGTGAAGATCAGTGGCTTTACATTCGTCAACAATTGTTAGACGAGTTATTTTGTTCATATGACGACTATACAAGAGTTTTCGTTGGATGTGATGAAGTAGTTACTTCATTGTCTTTCTTTACGAAAAATGAGTCAGCACCAACAGAACATTGGATGCTTATGCCTGAGACAGGCATCTTGATAGCCAACAGGTTTGGTGTGATCGTTCATTTTTTGACCACTGAAGGCCCCGTAACTTTTTTCCCTCTTTGGAGAGGTCCTAGAGAGTTTCAAAATCATCGGGTCCTTACGTTTGCACTTGTGTACACCAATCATTATGTGATGGTACAATTGGAAGGAGAGTACCCAATGCCTCCCATTGCGGCATTGTGGATCCGCAACAAAGCCCCGTCAGCAACCGAATGGCAAACTATATATAAGTCACGGCTAGAATTTTATAAGCATCTGAAACCTACTGAAAGATCTTTTATGACTATAAGTGATTAGTTGTTGCTTGTTTTGTATCAAATTTTTGCTATGTAATATTTAAAATTTAAAAGAAAAAAAGATTGGTGAGGATTTGTTTAGAGTATTTTTTTTTTGAAATTTATATCGTTATTTCTTATTTATCTTATAAACGTACGAATAAATGGTCCAATTTTTTTTTAAATAGTTGTATTAACATATGTAAATCACAATAATAAGTTAAAAACTAAAACATGTTACTGTAAAAAAATACGACGTACATAGAAAAAGAAAAGTCATATTTGTTACTATTTATTTATAAACTATTATTTAAATAATAATAAGATTAATAGAAATCGTTAATTGTAAGAAATAATTAATAATTGAAAAATAAACTTAATAAAATTAATTGGTCTGTGATTGGAACCAATCTCATTTACGTCAAAGTACGAACACATATTGCTTCGATTCCAATTTCAATATATATATATATATATATATATATATATATATATATATATATATATATATATATATATATATATATATATATATATATATATATATATATATATATATATATATATAATTCAATAACTTGATCAACGTTACCATGAATTTTAAAAGTTTGTGCCAAATAATTGAAAAATAAATAAAGTTAATAAAATGATTATATAATAATAAGATAATAAATAGTAAAAGTTAGTAAAATATTAGGTAACATAACAACCTATATAGATTAGAGTGTATTAGACTAGATTAGAGTGGAGTGTCCACATCAACACCCAATAATGTATAGTTATATATTACCCAACAAAACAAAAACTAAAAGAAATAATATATAGCATTATAATCACCGAATTTATTCCAACATGAACAGTAACATTCAAGTTTACAAATTAAACCGTTTTTTTGCAAAAATGAAATAAACAGTAATATTCAAGTTTACAAATTAAACCGTTATTTTGCAAAAATAAAAAAAATCTTCCAAAAATTACATGTTTGATTGTTGAAAAACCTTACTATGACTAGTGACTTACTTACACTTATGCATTAATATTTATGGATTCATTAAAAATAAAAACATAAATAATACTATATATATATCGGATACCCATCGGATCAGTTTTGGATACATGTATGGGTACCCGACAGGTATAACCATCCCCATCCCGATCCCTGATTTTTTCATTCGGGTAATACTCATTCTCGGTCAAATCGAGGATTTACCCGGTCAACTCGGGTACGGTTTTTTTTGCCATCTCTACACCGCGGTTGTCAATTTTTATATATTTCTCAAAAGGAGGTAATATTTTTATATTTTTACTTATGTCTTTAATCATTCAAAATGATGATTGAGAGAACATAGTAAAAAATATAAATGTCAAATCAACTTGATTTTCAGTATATAAGTTAAAAATATAAACGAAAACATCAACTCCGAACGTTTTTTTGGGTCTCTTATTTTTTGTTTATACGTTTAAATTAAAATTTAACCCACCAAACTGATTTAAATCCATTTATTTTTCAAAAATATTTGTTTTTATTATTTGTTATTTCGAAACTAATGCAACTTACCCGTTAAGTTTTTACTCCATACGTATTTATTCTTTTATGAAGATGAAGATATTTTGACAGTGTTCATATGAATATTAGTAGTTTATTAGAATATATTGGCAGCCTAGAAAACACCTTCTCAAAATGCTCATAAGTTACAAACAATATAATGCAAGCAAAAGTTGTAGAAGGAAAATATAAAGGATTTTGTAACAAGATTCTCAACATCAATATTGCAACTTTAGGAATTAGTTAATGTTTCTGCAAATAATCAAAAATATATGACTATAAGAAAATACTCTTAAGCCAAATTACGATCCATGTTTGCCAAAGCAAAACTATTATAACTGACTTCTAAAATCAACCAAAATATATATATATATATATATACCATCGTTTTAAACACTTGATATGATTATCAAAAGAATCATCACATCTAAAGACCCACCCCCACATAAGAACACGATTTAGAAAGAAAAAATTGAAAAGAATGAAGCATTCAAAATTTTAACCAACCAACAAAAAGAGATTATAGCAGCTTTATACATGACCATTTTTGTTAAGCTTTTTTGACTCTCTTAGTAAATGCAGTCAACCCCCTCTCCTCAGCCCATTCCTTGAATATCAAATGAATGATTAAAAATAACATAAGGTTATATTGTTTAACTTAAAGTTTTGAAGTTAAAAAAAAAAAACAGTAAGCTTTTTTCACCCTGCAAAAAGTGATAACAATAGAGATACGTGTGTATATAAGTGCAGAAGGCACAAAAACGATATCTGTTTGTCCTTATTAGGACTAGTCATCAATCATAAATGCCATTGACACTGTAGGTTGTCATCATACCTGCAATCAGCTACACTACTGTTTCCTTCAAGTCAATATATCAAACACAAACGAAAATTACAACAAACTCCCCCAGACTCCAGAATCAGATCACATTAAACAAGCTCAAAAAACACATTCCAGAATTAGGCTAATCCACCTGTGACCTGACCCCAATGTATCTTATTTATGAGTCGTCTCCTTCATAACATATACTCCCCCACAAACCATCACTCTCACTCTCACTCCACACTCCACCATGAACATGAAGAGGTCAGTTTTTGGACACAAGATTCTGGCATCTGTGTTTCTTTGTTGCCTAATTGCAGCAATGAAAGTGGAAGGAAGGACTCTGAGCGATAAACATCAACAACAAGGCAAAAATAAGAATCATCATCAGCCTCTTCATTGCTTTTGTTGCATCAGGTGTCGAATATTACATGAGACTATTATTCTACCTCCTCCTATGGATACAAGATTCAACATACAGAAGCGATTTGTTCCTGGTGGACCTAACCCTCTGCATAACTGAATTCTATTATTATGTTGTGTAGTAGACCAAATCTACTGTTTTATGTACTTTCTCCTAAGTCCTAAATATAGTATCATCGTATTATACAATCAGTTGTTGTTGCTACTGTGTCTAACTACAAGCGATCATTATAAAGCTTTATTATGCTCATTGATTTTCAAAATGTTTGAATAAATTTTGTTTATGTACCTTGTGATGGACACGACTAACTATTAATTATTACTCTGTACATGGTCCTATATAAATAGGAGAAGGAATTCGTTTATCCATATCTGCTGTGACTGTGAGGTTCGGATTCTAGAAATTCAACAGGAACTTTGAAGCTAAATTTACAAGTACTCCTAACGAAGAAGGTTGGCACCTGAAAGTTCTACACCATTCGAGTACCTTCAAACATCTTCAACAACTTCTAGTAGCTTCACTATTTATATATATATTTTTTTGTAGGAGGATTCTAAATAGGAACTTTCAAACAGATGATTGCCGGTATGTATTGGAAATTGAAAGAAACTTATATTTCCAGTAAATTAGAAAGTACGCAAATTATTAGAGTTAATATAAGCTCAAAATCTATAAATACATTACTCCGGAAGTCTACAAACTCAATGCAAATGAAATGGCAATCGAGCCAGAAACCCTAACAGCAACAGGAAAAAAAAACAAATACCGTTTAAACAAATCAGTGTTTGATATCCATGATGCTTTTGATCTTCGGAGCGTAGAGTGAATAAACAACAGCTTGTCTTTCGGCAAGCTGAAGCTGAGACTTGCCGTCGGTAAAGGCGGCAGCGATCGATGACGGCTCCGATAGAGTCTTGTTGTCACGAAAAGCATCAATTGTACGGCGTTTTGTGTACTCCCTGATGTTGTAGTCAGGAAACTGGCGAGCTGAACGGAGAAGCGACCGGAAAAGTGCGATGATTTCCGTCCGAGAAGGCGTCGGCACAGCTGTCGCCATTCTTATCCGGCGATTGAGAAAAAAGGGTTTATGCGTGATTTTTCCCTTCCGTTTGATATTCTGAGTTTATGTTTTAACTTATAATTTGAAGTAAATGCATTTTAGTACCCAATGTTAAAAGAACTACTTCGTTTGCACCCTGCCACAGTCCTACTTACAAAAAAAGACTGAAATGTCGAATTGGTGGTATTACACATTATATTATACTCTATATTAATTTGAAAGTTGCAATAGTAATTTCTCTTAGTTTTGAACTTTTGCTATATTATATTTATGATTGTAAATTTATAATCTCAATATATCTTTAACCTCCTAGTCAACAAATATTAAAAGATTGTTTGATATGTAAGCCAGTAAAAACTAAATGTGCTCGGTTAGATTCAAACTATTTGATATCACACTTAAAAGTCTCTGACTCAGTCATAGCTCCTCATATATACCTCTTATTCAGTCAAATTTAGAGAGAATCAACAACTATCGAACAACCCATAACATCTATAGGCAAAATCAAAAGAATAAATTATATAGGTTTGGTTGATAGGAT